CAGGGATTTAGTAATTACCTCATTCAATTGGGGTTCATGAATGGGGCTTGGTTTGTTAGTACGCTGCTAGGACCTATCCTTGCTGGTCTTGAAGTACTTCCTGTTCGTATGTGTCAGTGTCTCTGCCCGAGTCGGATTCCGAGCTTGCTGACGATAACGTTGCACCCAACTATGAGGTTGTTTATTATTTCGCATACAATGTAATTTGTGGTTCCCGTAAATGTGCTTAGTAATCTACAGATGTTTATTTCTGTAGGATGAGTTTCTTTTGCCTGGTGTTTATTTAAATTTGGAGTGTTTAATTAGGTACTGCTTATGTGAGCCCCTATTTATGACTTCTTTGGCTATGCTTGCTATTCTTATGGAAACTATTGGCGACCAATTAATTTTTACCTGGTGGAGTTCTTTATAAGTTTAGGTTGCAAATTTGGCATTAAAATTTAGTAATTGGGTATCATTAAGGTCATCCAATTTTGGTTTCCTTATCCGGTTTATGAGGACTTGGACTTCAGGTGCATTGACAGGCAGGTGTTGTGAAATTTTTCCTTAACCTCGACAGCCAACTATTAGCACGTGTTGTTTCTGTGTTGGTAATCCAGGAAAAATTATTCGTTGTATGCAATCACCTCACTCACAGTCTTTTTCACAGGTAGAGTACTTTGGGACTTAATCCAGGAGAAGGTGCCACACGCAATTTGCACCCTTTTTGCACTTGGAATCAATACTTGATTTTATGAATTTGAACACCGATAGCAGTGGTAGCAATATGGAAGTACGAACGCGTTAAACGAGACCCTAGACCCACGACTGTTCGCCTTTAGGTGAGGAGCGTCACTTATTTATTCTTTTATTGTTGACAACTTTAACTTTACTAACATATGCTAACAAAATTACTTTCACAAATTACACGCAACATACTTATGACACTGTTGATGAAAATTATGATAGAGATTTTACAAATTGCAGACAGACACAAGTCTCCATCTAGGGATTAATTTTAAAAATATTTTTATGCCATTGTTGCAGCATTAACTATGAATAAGTTTACACTTATTGCACTAAAAACCCCAAAATTAACTATTTTTGACTTATGACACTGTTGTCGCCCATGTGCGATATGTTTTTGGTTCTTAAAAGATCCGTATGTCTGACGATGTTTCGGTACAACCTCATGTACCAGTTAGACGTCTAACTCGCAGCAGAGCAGCAATAGCAGCCCATCAGATAAGACCTAAGAATGAAAATTGTTTTTATTTTTAAGGGGGCACCCGGTCATTAGATTCTCTGTGTCGAGAAACGGTTTCAGGATTTTTTTTAGAATTTTAAATAAATATTTAGGGGTCGCTACCGACGTTCAAAATTTATGAATATATTAAGAATTTTGGACGTCGGCAATATGTTAAATTTAAGTTCAAATTAATAAAAAACTTATTTAATTTTTTTAGATTCGTTTATTCACTTTATAAATTTGACAAAAAAACGAAAAGGTCGTATCTGTATTTTCTGTCAAAATTGCAACATCGTAATATTAATTTTTACACTATCTTCCATTGATTACACACTATATTTGTTCAAAAACTTTTCTTAGCATGCCTATCTACATGTTATCGATCATTCCCAAGCGAAACCGGCGTTTACTACACTGAATCGTCTTAATATTCGACTTTTCAGGCTAATATTTTGATCTGCACACGATCTGCACACATAATATAATAATATAAAGATACAAAATATACATTTAATGAAAAACAAACAAGAACCTTATAATTACGTATGCTATAGCATACTATAGTAACTAATTAATTTTTATTATAAAACATTTAATGTATTTATCGGGATAAAATCAAGTTCAAAATTAAAAAAAATATATTTATTATTATTATAATTATTTAATATTTATTATTAATATTGTAATTAATTAATCGTCGTCCAAATTTTGAACTTGATTTGATACCGGTAATTTTTTCCAAAATTCCAATCTATCCGGTGTGAGAATATGTTTAAGCTTTAATAAAAGGTTCGATTTTCTTTCTGTATCGATTCCTCGAGGAGTGTTTTTTTGGACAGGTTGTGGGAAATTGGTAACACTTTTGGCATATTTTTCCATTAAATAATTCAGTGTGTTAAAACTTCCACTAAATGCTTCCTTGTATTTTAGATTTACTTCACCTTTCTCAAACCTTACCTGAACAACATCACATAACATAGGGCGTAAAGATAATTTATTTAATTTATATTGAGATGTCATATTTTTGAATTCATAGAAATTGTTTACTTGCATTTCTATGATAACAGTTGAAGTGCAACGTCATTAGTGAATACTATTTAATTATGGCAATTGCTGAGTTGTCAATATATATTATTTGGAAACAGCTATTGTTTATTATATACAGAAGCAATATATGACTCAATATAGAAGTTTGTAAAAGTATTTACGGGTATAATTCCATGTGCCCTAAGTCCCAGCCTTACATGGCGATCCTGCCATCTCCAGTGCGTTAAGTTAAGTCAGGTTTTAAGTGAAAAGAAGAAAAATGGACAAGACAAATTCGAAGCACAGTGAAATGACAGATACTGGAGTGGTAAATTCAAACTTCATTGTAAAAGAGAACGAAGTCCAAGTGCCATTAAATATAAAAATGTTGGCATATGTTGCTGTTGGTGCCATTTTAACAATTCTGGGGTTAAAATTGAGAAAAGCACTAAGAAGAAGTATGAAAAGAAACCTCACCCGTAGTATGATGCTGAGAAGCCAGCTGCAGACGTTTAAGAAGACCAAAAGCCAGTCCGAATCAGCAGAGTTCATCAATTCAATCCAGGAGCCCCAGAGATTAAACATCGCAGAATCACAAAACAGGAGATAAGTAGGCCAACAGACGAAGGACAACGACCCAAGAAATGTTGCTGGGCAGCCTGGTATGTTATGTACATTTTATATTTGCTGATGTGAAATGTGAAATATACAATCTATTTGTGTCCAGTTATTAATTAGAACATTATTTGGTCTGACAAGGTGAAAATATGTTATTGCGTTATTAAATTACCTATGTATAAAATTTTAAATTTAAATATAATATAGTAATATAATATATAATTATATTGAAATATTAAATTATTTATAAGTTCTAAATTAGAATAATGCATAATATTAAAGTAGTTGAAAATTTTAAATTAAACTATATAATAATAAATATGTATATTAAAAATATATAATTATAATATATAATTATTTATAAAAGTTAAATTAAATTACTATATTATATTAAATTATGTATAAATCTTAAATTAAATGGCGTAGTAGTTATAAAATCTGAGTAGGTCAAATAGCTAAATTTTACCTTATGTGTGCAGTTTTGCTATTAAATATTTTTATATAACTTAATAAAATAAATTAACATAAATTGGAAGAATATATTAAGCAAATTAAGTAAAATTAAAGAATTAGTAGTTAAGAATCGAAACGAGTTCTTAAAACTCAGGTGCCCAAAACAATATCAATACAAGACGAAGTAAGGGATAATCATATTATATCAATTTACAAAAACTGCGACTTTGAATTGGTATTTTCTTGATGAATCACAGCGACACGAAGCCGACATGAAGCTAGTGCGGTATCGTATATCAAGACGCGACTCACAGGAAAAGCTCGTGATTTAATATCAGACGGCGAGACAATTGCGACAATTATTGGAAAATTAAAAGGCGGTATTAAACCAGAAAGCTCGGAACTAGTAAGTAGCTTTGAAACAATTTCAAAAGGATGCAGCAAAATATGCATCTGAAGTAGATGCCCTTGCCACAAGGCTTCGAAGAGCTTATATAAGCGAAGGTGTTCCCGTAGCCGTAGCTGGCCTACGCCGCTAAAACTACAGTAAAAGCCTTAACAAAGAACGCCGCAGAGCCTTTGACATCACCTGTATTGACACAATTGGTCCATTTGCAAGAACACAAAGAAATAACGCTTATGCTGTAACGATACAGTGTAAATTAACAAAGTATGTAGTAATCATACCAGTCCCTAATAAAGAAGCAGTGACAATCGCAAAAGCCATAGTGGATGATTTTATTTTAGTCTATGGGCCTATGAAAGAAATTAGAACTGACATGGGAACTGAATACAAAAATTAAATCCTCATAATAGGCGGTTGCGAGAGAAACCACAGAGTATTAAATGAATACATTAGAATGTACACCGACAAGACACACACTGACTGGGATGAATGGTTTACAATACTACACCATTTACGTACCATAGCTACACACCCTTCGAACTAATTTTTGGAAAAAAAGTAGATATAAACAAATCCTTTACAGATAATACCATTGATCCTTTATATAATATTGATGCATATTATCAAGCATTGCGATTTAGATTGCAAACAGCGTACAAACGAGGTGGAGCTTTTCCCGAAAAAGCTAAAATCAATCGCAAATATGATTGTGATAGGAGTAAAAAACTTATTCTTAAACCAGTTATGTTAAAAATTGAAAATAGATACAAATTTGATCCCTGGTATAAAGGACCATACTCTGTAAGCTGTAAGGGTGTAAACTGTGAAGTGAGTGACGAAAACGGTAAAATAGTGACTGTACATAAAAACGGAGTGCAACTATTTAATAAAACTGCTACAATTGTGTCGGCAAAATTGTAAACTTATTTTCTTATTAACCGATATGTTTAGTTTTATTGTCTAGATATAAGATAAGCATAAAAAGTGCAATATTACCTTGTATTGTATTTAAAAAAAAAGGGAAGGGAAATATTGGTTTTATGTATTGATTTTATTTAGGGCTTATAGGTTAAAATAGAATAGTTAAATTAAGTAGGTATTATTAATTAGGATTAGATCTTCCATGACATCGACTTTTTGAATGTCCTTTATTTATGCGCAGAATGAAGAACATTCTTTTGAAAAGGGAGATGTAGTGCAACGTCATTAGTGAATACTATGTTAATTAATGCTGAATTGTCAATATGTATTATTTGGAAACAGCTATTGTTAATTGTACACAGAAGCAATATATGGCTCAATATAGAAGGTTGTAAAAGTATTTACGAGTATAATTCCATGTGCCCTAAGTCCCAGCCTTACACAGTGCTTGTAGATGTTTTTTTCAACGCAGCCTATAAAATCTTGAAAATCATAGACATTTTTAGCTCTTCTCAGTTGCGACTCAACCTGATGATGGAACGCATCAGCCGACATAAAAGTGTGACCAGTTTCAAAGTATTTTGTGTCAAGAGTTTGAAGTTTAGTTCCTCCGGAGTTAATAAAGTATGTTAAAAATGAAAACAAAACCCAATTCTTATTCTGGGCCGCACAATTATCCAACCATATGGTTACCCCCTGATAATCCCGAACCTCTAGATGGCACAAAAATGCATAAAATGTAGAAATAATATCATCTTGTTTTCTTCCACTTATAGCCTCATGCCAGAGACAAGCGATTCGTTTCGAGAGCTTTTTCCCTACAGAAAAAAACGAATCGTTAAATGCTATAATGCGAGGCGTGAAAATGATTTCCTTAAACATATCGCATCGTGGGAGCATGATTACCTAAAAGAATTGATTTGAAATATTTATGAAAATTTTATACATTGGCTGTAAAAGTACCTTCTGCAAATCAGCATTGAAATATGCATCTCCGCTTTGAGCGTCCCCTTGGTATTCGGATCTTGCTAACTTGTATTTGTTGTGGTGCTTTTTCCAACGCCCACATTCACCACAATCGTCAATTAAGTTTTCCCGCGAATGATTGGTTTCGGATTTACCATGAATTTTAAATATTTCACACTGTCAACATTCTTTGTTGCCCAGAGTAGCAAAAAATATATTTTTTTTCTTCACTTCCCGCTGATACAGGTTATAGGAAACGGGAGTATTTGGATACTTTTTCAAAAAATGTTCGTGCATTGACTTAATTGTTATGTCGGTTGGGAGATACCTTTTATTGGGAGCATGTTCTCTTCTGTAATGAGATACAGTTGGATTGAACGACTCGATATTTTCAAAAAAATGCCCTAAATCTTTTTTGTTACGCGGTGGTTTTTGGTGACTATTTTTCAACACGACCGTTTTCCCCAATTACGCGTGGTGTTCAACATTTCGGATAATTCGATCATTCTTCGAGTTAAATCCAATTGTTAAAAAAAAACTCTTTGCAGACTACCACTTTTTCTCCATTTTCTGTGGTTAGGTAATATTTTGAAGAATGATTGCGTCGCGACGACAGAGCAGTTGTCCTTCTTTTCACAAAAGTTGTTGATACATTTTCAGGATAAAATTTTGTTGTTAAATTGGTATTCACGATTGATGTCGAACTATCGATCTTTGCAAAATAGTTGGGTACAATTCAAACGACATTTTTTTGTGCAACTACCTTAAAATGAATGCCTCTGGCATTTTTGCTCTATTTCGATCAGATAAAGGAATGACAAAAGCTTTCCTTTTCCTCGGTTGGCCCTTTTAATTTAATTGCGAGTTGTTTCGCAAATTTTGATTACAATTGAATGTTTCATTTCCATCCGAATCTTCTGAACATGTATTTTCATTATTCTGGTAAATATAACATCTAATAAATAAATAATTATAATTGTAGAAAATATGAGCTGTTTTTGCAATAACAAAATACTCACATTGTTTAACAATCACACGAAGAACAAAATACTCTTAAATCCTACAGTTTAGGCACCGCAAGTTGAGAAAAGTTGACACATAAATTGTATATTTATCGGTAACCATGGAACATGATAATAGACAGTGTAACAAAACCAAAGTGCACATAATTATATATGCTGATGAGTAAAGTTAACGCGATCGTAGATATTTTTTATTTGTGTTTTGATTTTTTTATTTTAAGCCAAATGGTCGCATCTGCCCAAAAAACTAGTATACAACAATATAGGGAAACATTTTAGTCATTTACATTTTTGATCATATTTTACTCATAATTTTACTTATATTAAATTTCAAAACCTATAACCAATAGTTGGCTTCATCAAAAATGGATAGTATCAATTTTCTCATAAATAACCTGATTGTGACGGCAGAATTAATGTATTTAAAACTAGGCTAATAATGTAGATTTGTTAGTATTTGCATACTTTTGACGATATTGTTTCACTAACAAAAGTAAATATTATTTTTGGTCTTCATCCGTTGTATGTAATTGTACTCTTCAATCAAAGCCACCCCTCGCTCTGCAATATCATTTACAACCTTCATAGACTGCACAAGGGCCTTGCATTCTACGGAGTTTTCATGGGTATCCCAAATGTCCACTTCCTTTTTCAGAAACTCTGGTGAAATGCCAGTGATGTCAAAAAATCTCAATGTTTTTTTGGACACAAAATCTTGGTATCCAGGTATTTTTCGTGTATGAGATTCATGTCAACGCTGATTCGTTTGGGAGAGTAATCTAATGCCACATTTTTTAAAGCCGCTACCATTTTTTTCATCGTTTCCATAGATACCTACTTTTTCATCAAAAAAGGAAAACGTTACAAGCTCCTTTCGCAAGTACCACAGGTGATTTTGAAACTTGTTTAGAGCCACGCTAGACATTTTTTGGTTTGTGCTTTTAAATATTTTGAGATCCTTTAGGAGCTGCAAATCATTTCTTGGTGCATAACCTGCTGAAGTTGCTTAAAACCAATGCTGCAAATAAATCTTAACAGTAAAAACAAAAATTTCTCTTATCCCGTTTTCTTCTTTCTTTTTCAATTTAAATTGATTCCGGAACAGAAATATTTTTAGAGAATAAAAAACCTTTGCCATCTCGCGCGATGAAGTCCGGCAGGAGCCCTAAAAGTTTGTTTTGGGTTTGCCTCCCAAAAAGATGATAGACAAATTAAGAAGCTCTTTATAGTCATCTCTAGAAAATGTAATTAACTCGGCAGCAACGTTTCCTATGTCATTGAGAGCCAAAACATCTGAATAAACAGTGTCGAAAGATTCCTTTTTAATATTGGACCGAGCGTTTTTAAATCTTTTGAATATCAAAATTTCTGAATCACTCGACGGCCCTATAGCCTTAATCACCACTCAGGGTTACCACTCATCTGGAAAACCTGGAAATGTCAGGGAATTTAAAATTTTTAGAAATGGTAGGGAAATGTCAGGGAATTGGCAAAAAAATCTACAAAGTCAGAGCATTCCTATGTCAGTCAGGGAATTGATTATTTATAAATAAAACTGGTCAACAAAATTTTCATTCAAAAAAAAATTTATGTTAACGAGTGTAATTTAAATTTAATTTATTCAAAATATGGCAGCGCTATATGTCAAACCTTAGAAGTCTATATCACGACTTATCACTATAACCTTCTAAGACTATAACCAATTATTTTTATGTTTAGGGTGATTAATATTTCTTTATTTTGTAAATGGTAAGCATAATTAATAAACTAATTAAATAATCAGTAAAAGACTTTGAAAAATCATTGTTCCTGTTGATAAAAAACCGTTTCAAGCAAAATGTTTGAATTGCAAGCAGTCATAGGCCACATAAAAAATGCCGGCCATTAAAAAATGATTTCGGCAACGAAGAACACAAATTTGTCAAATTTTCTTAAAAAAAAAGAACCAGATGAAAATACTACTCTCTAAAAATGAATTGTCATAGCGAAAAAGCAGCCACTAATAATTCTAGTCAATTTGTATCCCGGATATTTAGCAGTCGATTCATATGTAAAATTGTCTGCTGAATCCGAATATGTCGTCAAAAGTTATAAAAGGAGGACAGTTTTTAAGATTTATTCAATTTTCCATATAATATGGAATTGACTATATCTCAAAAACTTCTATGATGTTCTTTTCGGATTCAGGTGACAATTTTACATGAGAATTGGCTGTTAAATGTCCTGGATACAAATTGCTGTGGACTACAGTTATTAGTGACTGCAGTGAATTAGTCAAAAATGACATATTTCAAAGTGAAAAAAGCATGCTTTTTTACTATGAAATATTTAATTTTTGACTTATTTTTTTAGAGAGTATGCTTGAAAAAGGTACAGTTTTACATGATAATAATAATATTGCTTTAGAAAATAACCAGAATATATCATCAATTTCTTCAATAAAAACTCTTGCAAAAAATGAATAAAAATTTTTTTTTTGATAAACAAGACCTGCCGCAGACAAAATTTTAGAGGCAATTTTAAAAATTTCATTATTTCTGTTATTTTCAGATTGAACTGAAAATTAATGTAATAAAAACCCAAGAAACAAAAACCTAAATTAAAAATTATCCCGAAAAAATTAGCTACAGGAATTTTTTTGTTTGTTTTTAAGAAGAAGTATTGATTTTTTGTTAATGTTTTTGAATTTTATAAACTTTAATAAAAGTTTAGTTTTTTAATTAATCGTTAAAACTCTCCACCAAGAGAAAAATTAATTCAAGTATTACATAAGCACCAAAGTCTTTGCTTGATTGCTTTGATTTTTTTGTATATTTTTAATGATAAGCTTTACTTACTTATGCTGACAAAGGGAAGGGGTGGGTTAAAAATTACAAAATTACTGCTTACTTGAATGGCCCCCATACCTAAAAGAAAACACATTTTGTCTGGAAAAAAATCAGGTAAGGTCAGGGAATTCCTGGAAAAGTCAGGGAATTTGGTTTACACAAATCGGTGGCAACCCTGCCACTGCAGCATAATCTCAAAAATGTGATGACGACAGGCTAACCAAAGCAAATCTTTTTTTTCGAGAATAATGCAAGCTCCATTTCTTTGGTCGCTATTTCTTGCAGTTGTATCGAAGCACATGCATTTTATTTGGTTGCCTAGATTCCATGCGGTAATGGCATCATACAGCTGACGCTGATACTTCACGTCTTCTTCGAGGCAGTTTAAGCACAGCAAGTAATTGGTCGACGCCTTGACCCGATACTTATATTGGAAGACGATCCACCGTTTCAAGTCCAGATAGGTCCTCTATCATTTTCCCATCCCAGTGAATAGTCAAAGGACCAGCGGGCTTGAAACCACTCTTTAATAATTCTGCAACTATCTGGCGTTGTTTGATGCGTTGACGGCGAATAGTAGAACTGTTAACGTTGTACTCTACTGAATCACATCCGACATTTTTTAATGTACTTATTAGAACCACAGTGGCCTTTCGGTCACTCAACTTGGCAATGTCAAGACTGGTAGCTAAATTAGTATTAATTATCTTTTTCTACCTCTTTTACGCGGAGGCATTCCGGCTGTTGATGGTCCTGGATGGCGAATTCAGAAAGTACTGTATCTGAAATATTAGATGTGATCTTGAGCTCTCATTTGTCGTTGACTAAGAAATGACACACTTTTCGGTTATAGACTGAATCTTCTTCTGTTCCCGATCACGAAAATGTTGTCGCTGTTCTTGTTTTTTTTCTTTTTTCAGCATTCTTCTCGGCATATTTCACATCTAAATGTCCAATATGACCAGGACGTCCTTTTTGGCGCTGTGCAATTAAAAAACGTTTGTCTTCCTCAATATTAATCATATTTAGGGCGTTGGAATGTGCAATGTCAAAGAGTCCTTCTATTTTACTCTGCCAATCGTGTTCTCTTTTTTGAAGTGATTTTGATCGCTTAGCTCTATTTTCTTTGTTTTTCGCCAGATTTGCCACTCACTGGAAATACATTTTAATTTTACTAATAACGTGTTTCTTTAATCTTGTTGGAATACTTGCTTTTTCTCATATAGCCAAGGTATCAGTAGCAGTTGGGCAAGCGCGAGTGCCATGCGGTTGCTTATTATTACTATCAGAATAAAAATTTCTACCATTAAAATTGTTGCCAATTTCTGGTGGCCGGTTTTTTGTCCGGTGAGTGTATATTTGTTATTTGTTTAAACAAAAAATACTT